ACTTTTGATGTACAAGTGAAATTGTTCATGATATATATGGGACCCTCCAAACAACTTAAGCTCTTAGATCAAATAGTTCAACAAAGTACTAGAGCAGGCCAAGTACATAGTTCAAGTCTTGCTACCACCCATTTAATGAAATTGTGCATATGTCATCATTTGATAGGACAAAATAAACCCCACCAAACATGAGGGGACATGTTGAAGACAATATTATCATGATATGTGAGGCCCACTCTACCAGGGCATATTTGTACATCAAGTGGTTCAACAAAATGAAAACCCCAAAACAAACGGCATGGTAAATGCAGACTTAAATTCAGTCTGCAAAAGGAGAGAAGCACTTCACATTTGACCTCTTTCAACGTGCGCACAGTATAAAGTGATCCAACGTGGATATTCTTCTGTTCCATTCTGTCCCTGAGGTATCCTGTAAGTTTCAATGCTCCCACTCCTTCAACTTCTATACCCACCTGGTGCATCACTTTACCATGTAGAACTGTAAAACACATAATAAAGACCAAACAGTTATGCTGTCAGAAATTTTGATGCATGAGAAGGAACTGTAAACACTGTATCCGCTAGTAAAAAAAACCAACGGCAATGAAGACAAGTGACATAGGATGCAATGAACAAAAAACTAGAATTATAGAAGGGGGAAAAAATAGGAGAGAAGAAATGAGAGAAAATAGGGAGGAATTTGAGGGAGGAATTATCAATTTATTCAATAATAAAGTGTGCACAAATCCTCTTTATATAGAGTTTCTAGCAACCTAATTGAAGTAGGAAAATAATTAAAGAAATAAAATAGAAAATAGAAAATCTATAAAATAAAACCTTATTTACTTTTAATAAAACTAGTCAACGTTCAACGTGCACTCAACATTGACTGTGCGCTACACGGTATTATGAAATATTTTATAAGTACTGTAAAAGTAATATTTGAATATGCACGAATGTTAATTAATTTAGAATTAATATCAGAGAATATATACGTGACAATTTATGTTAAATCATTTATTTAATCTCCAATTAAGTAAATCTGGATGTTAATTAGTATACATGAACGTAAATAATGAAATGCATTCTTGAATGTGAAATTCTAATTAACTTATAATTAGAATTAATAACATTGAAATGCATAAATGAAACTGAGTATTCATTAAATAAATGTGAATGTTAATCAATTGAGAATTAATAATAGGAAATTCATACATTAATGAAAGCATACATGTGAAATGAATCTGTTAAATGTATATGTACATTGATGATAATTAAATGATTAAATACATATTGAAAAATGAAAAGTAAGGTATTACTGAAATAAATGAATTATAGTAGGATTAGAAATGTCAAAAAAATGATTCTCACGTAATATTTAATATATTATATAAGGTACTATATAAGGTTTGATTTTTGACTTAGGTCGGCTTTGGCTTCGGCTTCGGCTTGGCTGTGATACGTAATAATTGGGTTATTGGAAGGAATATGGAGCGTAGGTAGGGGATGTGGTTATGGGCAATTTGGATTGTGGGTATGGGTTGAAGGAATATAATGCCCTGGATTGAAATCGATCAGCATCAGCAAAGAAAAAGATGACTGCAACTTTTTTTTTTTTCCCCACAACTAAGGACTACTTCCTGGTGAACAATTCCGGCCCACACAATAATAGAACTCTTTTTAGTTTCACTACAGCACGAATGAACTTCTTTCTTACTAGCTAAGTTGCTCCTTACGGTTGCTGCTGATTTTTTTAATTTTTTTCCCTTTTTCTCTTCTAAGAACTGGAAACAATAAAACAAAGCAGTAAACAGCTTGCTTCTTGCCGGCAGGTTTGTTCCTTGCAGTTGCTTCTGTGTTTGAGTATGGTTTGAGGGCTGGCGGTTCGGAATTATGCGTCAGTTTTAGCAGTTAAAGTTGGTAACAGCTGTAAAGGGTGGTGGCGGGTTGTTTGGATTTATGTATGGTTTGTGGGTGGTTGGTGTGGAGGGTTTGGATGGCGGCTGCTGCAGTAAAGTCTAGAACTTGAACACCTATCAAAACTTTATGAAATTTGTTTGGCCAAAGGAATAAGAATTGCACTTCGACCAAATTGATGTAGGATGCGACGAACAAAGAAATTATGGAAGAATGGCTAAAAGAAGGAAAAGAAGAAGAAATAAGAGAGAATAGAGAAATTGGAGGAAGAAGATATGAGTTTATTTAATAATTAAGTCTAACTATTACAATGAGCCCTCTTTATATACTACTCAAGCAACCAATTTCAAGGAAAACAGTTGAAAAAATAAAATAAAATACTACAAAATCTCCAGAATAAAACCCCTGATTACTTTTTCCTAAAATAAGTATCTAAATTGAAAAGTCTTCCCTATGATATATCTACTAGGATCTCTATCAACAAGCAAAAGAATCATTTATACACATGCAGAAGACATTGCATTATGTCACAGGAAGATCCCAGTCAAATTTCAACCATCTGCTTGGAAGAAGATGATAAGGACCCTGTTTGTTTCGGATTAAAATAAGATTTTAATCTAAGTCAAAATCAAACATTCAATATTAATCACATCTTTTATAGGTCACACGGATTTTCAACCACACATTTCAAAAACTTCTATCATAATCTACTAAAAATCTAATTTTAATCCCCACCAAACACCCACTTATAAGATAAAAATCACTTTTGTATAAAAATCTATTTATAAAATAAAAATAATTTTAATAAGATAAAAATTTACTTATAAAATTATGCATTGCACAGAAACAAATTTTTCTAGAACATAAGAATGGAATCAAGAAGATAGATCTTACTTGGAACAACAGAGGTTTGGTGAAAGCCAACATTCACAACAATTCCTGAAGTTCTTCTTGCGGCAAACAAAGCTAAAGTTGCCTATTCTTCAAAAGATAATAGATTATTACAAAAATAGAAATCATGCTGCCAACAATGATAATTGTTCAGTGCGATTAGTCTACAGAAAATCCTCAAGTGAAATCTTGAAGCATCTTCTATTCTATTATTTCCAATTTTTGTGAAATTAACATTCTGACAGTTTGAATTGCATAACAAAACTCAAGACTTGAAAAGGAAATTTTCGTGTGAAAATGATGCTATATTAGAGGAGTCTGAGCTCCAGATTACATTGGCTTCTGTAGCTCACATGAGATCAAGCCGATTAGCCAGTATAGTTAAAGATCAAATTATCTCCCAGCTAAGTACAAGGTAACATCATCAGGTGTCTAGCTTTAAATTAAGAGCAATTGTCAAATAGCAGGTGCCCACCAAAACTGGTCGTTACCAATACTATTTTTTTTTTTGAAGGGTCCTTACCAATACGTTATTAGGTCTTTCAACAAACTTGATTTTAGGGAAGTTAGTTGTTAATGGATGAATAACTAAGAAGACATTTTAGGAGATAATTTTTCTTGTTACTTATCAATTAGTTATTTTTCGTTTATCTATTCCTCCTATGTAATCTATATTCTATAAATAGTCCATTGTAATATCAGATTTGATATATCAATGAAAAAAGATATTACATTAATTTCTCAAATTCTACAAAATCGCATAAATATCTTTCTACTTTTACTGAGCAAATGGAAACATGTAAACCTAAAAAAATTCAAAATTTTAACTAAAAAAGCGTGTCAACCGGTGCATGCCCTCATTTTGATAAATAACTACCTAGATATTAACACATCAAATATCGAAAAAGATAGCCAATTTTTTTCTTTTCCTTTTGAGAAAAGGAGAAAATGAAATGAATGAATTCTGATTTAACCCTAGTCAACTGCTAGTATGGCAGCTTTTGGAAGCACTTAAGCTGCCAAGTAGCAGCTAATCCAAGTCATCATGAACTACCCAGATGATTCCATACTCTGTAATGTAGGATATGATATCATATATGTAGTTAGGAAATAGACAAGCAGGCAAACCAAATTGTTAGAAGATGTTGCTCTACTAAAGATATTGCCGCACAGTGTAATAGCATTGCTCCTGATGGGGTTAAGGTCAATTTTTTCTTCAGTAATGAATTATTAACCAAAGACATGTCGTCATTTATCATAAAAGCATATCTAATTCTGAGGTTTTCAAGTGCTACTGAAAGAATTCTCCAGGGCTTAATGAAGAGATGTAGAACGGACATTACCTGATTAACAACACAAACAGCGGGAACATTCATATCAAATAATGTAGAGTAGATGGCTTCCTTCAGCTGTATTGTATAAGCTTTTGCAGACTCAGTATCTGAACAGTGATGATAAGAAAGAGTGACATATATGTTAAGGGTAAAAATACATCAATAGGGATTCGAGATGTCATTAACCAAAACTATATCATAAGTTATATATCGTGTATCGTTCATCCTGTCTGAAGTTTCGATGGAAATCCTCTACCAATGCAAGTATAAAAGTACTAACAAACATATAAGGTCTTGAACTACTCCTATTAACAAAGTTGACCTTTTAAGATAAGACCCAACATGGTATCATACCCCAATAAGCTCAAACAAGCGATTCTATCTATCTAAAACTCATATGTGAATTCGGATTCCTGGTGTGCTCAAAGGAGACATCATCTTGCAGGTGCATGTTAAGTGTAAAAATCCAGCAATGGTTAAGTATAAATATGGTAACCAACATATAAGATCTTGGTCTACTCCTTCAAAAGTTTATATATAAGATGGGGTTGTACCTCAGCAGCCAGCTGAAAACTCATTAGTCATTACCTATTTGTGAGCAGTACAAACCAAAAAAGTTCAGATGAGAATTTAATATAGACTTCCTATTTTTTCCGGAAATTAACTAACTTATCCCTCTTTTCAATTATGTAATTCCTTATCCAGGATGCAAATCTTTGGATGTATGCATGATTTGAAACAACGAAAGAAATTAGAAAAATGTGTTGGATATCTGAGAAGATAAGCCAGGGACTGGACATCAGTGGCACAGTTTTTTTTTTTCCTTTTTAATGTCACGAATGTATTGTGTTCCATTAGAAAACTGTGAACTAATATAGCATAGAAACATTTGATAAACTTTAGCAAACATAAAATTCAGAATAAATGGATATAAACCTAACCATCACGATGGCAAATTGGAACTGATACAACAATTGGTTGTGTATATGTTTTCACCTGCATCCTGCACATCACCGTAGTCTTAAATAATCACCAAGGAAAAGAAGGGCAGGAAGATGAAACCATTATCAAGTCCAAATGCAATCTAATAAAAGAAAATTTTATGCCATTCGAGCCACGCCCATCCTCACATTCAATTTGCTAATTAAGAATGTTTTAATATATGGTGATGAATTATCATCATATTAGCAAATCAGAGAGTAGAAATAGGCTTTTAACATTCTCAATGGAAAATTTTGTTTGTGTTTGTGTCCATGCATTATGTGAGGCACTTAAAGCCAGGATGGATTCCAAAAACAATACAAATAACATAAAGAACCAACATTGATATTATAAGACAAACCTGCTGCAAATTGTTGAAAAAAAATGTCCAAGTCTAGAAGGCATTGGAGACATAATGTTACCAAATTCCTGTTTATCGAAAATAATCAAAACAAATGTTGGGAAGTAGACTCCAAATTGGTCAACAAACAAGTGAACAAAACACCATATGCTTTAAAGAGCATGGAGTTCCGAAGATTAGCAACAGTTTCTCCAGAAAACTCCTGAATTTCTAACAAGAAGCAGACTCACCATAAATGTTGCTGACCGCCCAGACGGAGAGGAGTACTTGCTCCAACCATATTTGCAATATCCAGAACCAACTTTAATTAAAAATAAAAGAATGTAGTTCAAAATATGACATTAAACCAGAAAACTCTTTGACCATAAAAGGACTTACCTTTCACTTAGACTAGAAGAAAAAATGAAAATGAGAAGAGAAGAGGAAGCAGTATGAACAATGGCTAAAAATGTTGCCTTAAGAGTGGGAGTGGGAAAAAAGAACAATTCTATAGTACCTCTCCTGCTATGTCTCCACTTATTTTCTCTTTCATGTTTTCACAGGGTTTAGGAGCAGGGATAGCAAAATAAAAGAAGTAGGATTAAGGACAAATATTGGGTGGGGGGTGGAGAAATTTTGTATATTCATCTTTTTCTTTGGCTGGAAGAAAAGCTCAAGCGGATTTAAATATAATTTTCCTGAAACCAAACACACTCAAATTTTCACAAACAAAAAGACTGATACTTGAGCTGACTTTATAAGTTTGAGTATAAAGTGAAAAGGCAAATTTGAAAGAAATAATGTAAGAAAACCAAGCTATAGATACACACCATCAATTATGACAGCTCCAGGGACCCGTACACGTTGGCCATAAATATGCATAAATGACACTTGAGCTGCCTGACCGGCGAACGTTCTGCATTTACATGAAGCACTATTGGGAAAAGTTGTGTGTTTCTGGTAATCCACCCCCACCCCCTCTCCTGTTTTTCACTTTTTATCCCTCAGGAAGATGAGAGGTTGCATTCACAATCAAGTAGGTGTTAGAAAAATGTGAATATGCATATTCAAATAAAGAGACTGATCTACAATTGCATCAAGTAGGTCATTAGACTTGCAACTTGCGTGCATACAAAAATGTGGGAGACCCATTAGTGTGATGACCTACTGGAGACCCGTTACCTATTATAAACATGTTCCAAGCTACACTTTCCCAAGCTCCAGCTCAACAGTCATGACGCAGAATGCAAGTAATCCCTCAGCAGAGCCGGTCCAATTGAATGAGTGGAGCTGATTTAACTAAGCCATGGTTTTTCACAGTTACTTAAATAGTTAATTACTAAAGTATGATCTTAACAGTAAAGAGGTTCTTCTGGATGCATATGCGGCACTGGGCTCAAAAAGCATGCCTGGCATATGAACTGTTCAATCATACTCAACTAGTTAACTAAGTAATGAGCTTTTCGAATATAATGACACAAGTATTTAATAAGCTTCAGTTGCCACCTTGGACCAGCTTTACTGCTTGTTTACTTTCATTTAGTATCAAAGATTAAGTTATCCACACATACACATTTGCATATTCCTTATCCTGTGTTTAATAGAAAAAAAGTATGATATGCATATTCAAATAAACACAACTGGTTGTCAGACTCACATCTCGGAGCACGTAAATTCCTTGTATGCGAAAATGTGTTTTTAGAATTTTCCTGTCTAATTTCCCCCCAGAATACAAATTCGCACACAGTGTACAGTAATAACGAAATTAACGGGAAAAACATGTCATTTATCACCAATATAATAACATCGACATAATTAATAAAATCAAAATATATAACATTCAAGTCGAGTGAAACAAACCTTAATCCCCTGTTTAGCCAGCACAGAACTATGATATTAGAATTGATTTTTCTCAATAGTTAAAACAAAGTAAAATTTGGAAAGTAAAATATCGTACTGAAGTGCATAACCGGATCGCAAGTGAATTTCGGCAAAGAAAATAGAGTCCCAAGGCTCCTGCAGACTTTGTAGAAAATAAATCCAAAGCTTATTATCCGATATAATAAATTTCCAAGATTTACACACTGCTCTCAGCTTCGTCGACTCTTTGGGGCCTAGTATTTTCTGAATTTGCACGAAAATATCCAGCGGAATCCGATCAAATTCACCTGTGGATGAAGTTTGTATATACATTATCTGATTGAACGGATCCAGGTCCTCCATGATGTTCGGGTCGGAGCTCGAGCTCGAGCTTGAACCCGAACCGGAGAGCTGAGAAACGGATCCCAAAACCTTGCGAAGCAGCGTGGCCATGGCGGATTCAGATTGAGCGCTTTGGTTTTACTTGTGGAATTGTGACAATTATGCAAAATTGTTAAGAGAAATTTGGATGGTTGGGTTTGGTGGGAAAAGGTCTCGAGTGAACGTCAAAGCGCGAGGGGAGAATGTTCTCGTATTGACACGTGGCACGTGTTAGAGCCAGATCATTCTGTGCCACTTCAGCAAGTTGAAAATCTGCTTATTTTCAAACACGTGTTATTTTCGATAGACTGCTGACCATGGGATCAGCTCAGCAGTCTAGATGGATAACATTGTTCAAATAATTTATACAAAAATTTAATTTTGTGTTAGTATTTATTTAGTCGTTGTTAGGTCCAATTTTTTTTAAAATATATTTTTATCTCTCTTATTTTCAATCACACATTTATCAATAAAATAATATTACACGTAAATTTAAAACTTTTACTTATTTTTTAATTCCATCAAATGACTATTCCAAAATGCATTTTTGAGAAAAAAAATGAGTCTCAAACGTGCTCTTAATTATAAGTTGTTAAAATTATAATGTAATAAAAATAATAGTGGATAAGTAAACAGTCGTTATGAATGTGGTTAAAAATTAATATTTTACTTTGATCATTATATTTAAAAAAATATATAATATTTTCCAAACATGCCAGCAGGAATAAATTGTTATTTATTTAGAGTAATGATCATCATCGATTTATATAATAATATGCCACATCTACATTATCTAACAAAGTTGAAATGCATTTTTCTTCGAAATTTAAAGATTTTAAAAAAATAATGTAGAGGAGGGTATTATTATTTTTTTCTGAATTTTCAAAATCCTATTTTGATCTTACCTAGATTATGTTAAGAATAATGCTACATGTACATTATGGTACACTTATGTCCATAATGTTACCATAATGTACATGTGGCGCCCCCTATTGTGGGGAGTGCCTGTGGGCTAGGTGCTCCTCCCCAGTAGGGGCGCCACATAATGATGTCCATAATGTACATGTAGCATAACCCGTATGTTAATTAGTGAGTTAGAAGTATGCTATTCTTGTTTGATTGTTCCTTTCATGGTTATTTAGCAAGCTAAATGTACGAACGATATATGAGCTCATCTTTTTATCAAAATCCAATAAAAATTCACAAACTTTATCCCGTCAATAAATTTATTAACTTTTGTGTGTCAAAACTAACATAATAATTGCCTATACGGCAACGACGTGACAAACATTTGACAGTGTAAACTATGCATAAACTTTACTCCTGTATTAAAAATCATACACAAATTTTACTTTGTATCAAAATCATACACGAATTACAGATTTGTATCTCGTCCACATATGAACGAACTCTGGTCTGTCAAAACTAACCGAACAATCCATGTGACAATCAGTGCTACTTCCAAATGTGTGCGCGGTAAATTTACTTTTCCAAATGAGCAGTTGCAGTCAAGTGAAGCTATTAGCGTTCATTTAATTAATTCAAAAAAGGAAAAGAAGATCTCCACAACTTTTATAAAAATTAATAAATGTGTGATTGAAAAGTTAATAAAAGTTGTGAACTCTGTAAAATATGTGTTTCAAAGGACATTTATTTAAACATTACATCGAGGATCTTAACCAACTTATTCGAGACGGAAAAGGCCCAGATTTCAAAATTGTAAAACTGACTAGGAGCCTTACTTCTTGATGATATATATTAATGGTAATTACAGCAAACCCTACTTTTGGAGATCTATTTTCCAAAATCAGATTTCAAGTTTTAATGTTAAAAAATCAGATATTTTTAATTAAATGCAGATTATAATTATATATATATTTAATTAAATATTAATTATAAAATTCTCAAATCAAACCCTAAATTATTTCTCTCTCTCTCTCTAACCGCACGACGCTGGAGCTCTCCTATCAGTCTCTGTGTCTTCTCTCTTCTCGTCACCGGCGACACTGGAGCTCGAAGCGACGACCAACGCACATCTGTCCTCCTCTGTCCTCCTTGGTGCGTGCGGCAGTGGGTGCGATTGGTGTGTGTTCTGGTGCGATTGGTGCCCGAAATCGTGGGTTCGATGGGTTCTGCAATTTTGTGTTTTTTGCTGTGGTTTGCGATTGGTGTACGTGGCGGTTGAATGGTATTCCATGCTGTAATTACCACATCTCTTCTCGTCACCGGCGACGCTGGAGCTCGAAGTGACGACCAACGCACATTGTCCTCCTCCGTCCTCCTTGGTGCGCGCGGCAGTGGGTGCGATTGGTGTGTGCCCTGGTGCGATTGGTGCACGAAGCCATGTTCGATTGGTTCTGCAATTTCGTATTTTTTGCTGTGGTTTGCGATTGGTGCGCGCGGCGGTTGAATGGTATTCCATGCTGTTGGTGGTGGTACCGGATCTGGGCTTGGATCACTGTTGCTTGAAAGGCTTTCAGTTGACTATGGTTGTTTTTATTGGTGGTTGCTGTGGATCACCGTTGCTGTGGTTTGCTGTTGAACTCAGTTTGATGTATCACGAATTTTTAGGCTGTTTTTATTGGTGTGTTGTTGGTGTTATGTAAACGGTGGTG